TTAAACTTCATTTATAGTTAAAATGCCTAGAAAATGAAAAGCTGTCATCAGCTGATATGCAATTCATGTAATTGATATTTTAAAAAAATTGACAAGAAAATGCAAAATTTATGGAAGTCTAGCAATTGAAAAAATCTTAATTTTCTTGTGTGAGCACTGAAAATAACTGTAGAAGGAAAGAAGAAAATTAGGGAGAAAAGTAAGCAAAAATTTGCAGGGAAATTTGGCTGTCAGACATACCAAGATGTTTCAAAAAGTTGGACTTTTTTGAATATACTTTCAGGATACTTCAAAGAATTTAGGTGTTCAAAGAGAAAACACTTGGACGTGTACACCAGCAAATACCATCAATTGAGCTTGTGTTAACAGAAAAGACAAAATCGATATCATTGCAGATTAAAGTGAAGAACGACTGGTTTTGGACTATATGGTTGTATAAATTAAAATTACGTTATAAAACATCATATCGTATCATGAACGGAAAATCCCATGATATCTCAGTCGAACTATTTGAAGATTCAGGAGTTTATCCAGTGATGTATGTGGATGTCACCTAAAGATGTTATTTTTTTCCTCCTGATGAAACAGCGGGCCGAGAGGTAAAGTCGCTGAACACTGGTAGTTCGTTCCGAGGTTCAAATCCCGTGAACAGGCTGGCTGCGTGGGCATTTTCATGGGGTTCCCCATGTGTAACATGTATGAGCCAGTTTCCCTTAGAAAGTCCTCCACGAAGGCATTGCTATGCTTAGCCTCTAAAGACTGATAAAGGCTCTGAGGAAATAGATTGAATTGGATTATTAAGTTATGGCTGCCTAAAAAGAAGGATCCCTTTGCAAAAAAATTTCTAAGGGAAAATCAGCTGGCATACACGTTTCACATGAGAAAATCCACGAAAACACCCATGCAACCAGTCTGTTTACCGGAATTCAAAACCCGAGTTAACTAGTGTTCAGCGACTTTACCGCTCGGCCGTTTGTGGGTCTTTATGAAATGGAAGGCGATAGCTTTATGTAAAATGATTGTCAGAAATACCAAGATGCTTCAAAAAGTTGGATACTTTTTAATATACTTGCAGAATGCCTAAAGAAAAAGAGCAAGAATGAAGCAGAATGCCTGAAGAAAAAGAGAATTAATTTTTGTGTAAAATTTAGTATTTGTATTTTTTGTTAATTTAAAACTTTTTAATCTTATGATATTTGATTCTTGCGATTTCAAAAATAAAATATTTGTCTAAAATATGAATAACATTTTAAGAAACCATGTAGGATAAAATTGTGTAAAGCAATGGGCATAATGATAAAACTGTTTTAAGCAGTGTATGCAAGTCATCCTAAGTTAAAAATGTCGGTTATACATCTCTCTTATTTATATATATCTTTTTTCTGAACGGAACATTGAAAGGCGTGTTAAACTGTGCTTTACTGTATTTTCTCTTTTAATATATGCAGTTTTCAAACGCATCGTAGTCTGGGTTACAAAGTATTCTTCCGAAAGAAACGCAATTCAAATAAATAAAATCAAATTCTGGAAAATTTTATTAAATTTATATTAATTTAAAATGCTCAGTTCGAAGGAATAAATAGAAAATTTTAAAACAATTATCTGAAGAGACAATGCAACACAAACAATTAAAATAAAAGTATAAAAATTTAAAAATTACCTAAAATAATAACTATGACAAAAATATATATAAAGAAAACTATTTGAAAAAAAAAAAAAAAAATAACGCTTTATTTAAACTACGCAGTTCGAATAGTAAATAGAAATTTTTAAAACAGTTATTCGAAAAAAAACATGCAACTTAAACAATTAAAATGAAATTCGAAAAAGAAAAAAATTACTTAAATTAATAACAATTATAATTAAAAATATAATATAAAGAATATTATTTGGAAAAAGGAACGATTGAGTCTTTTTTTTTTCCTCTCGCGCACTAGTAAAAACTGGAATGAAAATAGGTTGCCATATATTAAGAAGTTCGCCAAGGGAACTATTTTTGTGCAAACCGAACAAAAAGCGCCAACATAAATTGTTGAATTTCTCCGTAAATTTCGCTCCAAATTTTACAAAATTTCATATTTAGGCGTAATTTGAGTCGTAGAATCGAAATATGTAAAAAAATTGGTATATTATTTCAGAAAAAGTCCGATTTTGTGTCAAAATACCTATGTTAGAATAGTGCTATATATAAATCTAATATATATCCTAAGTCGCGCTTTCGAGACATGAAGAACGCAATTTGAATTTTGTCAATCGGCCCAGTAGAACGTGAGATATAGAACTGTTTCTTTTTTTTTTTTTTTTTTTTTTTTTTTTTTAGCAGTGGTACCTGAAAAATGGCTGAAGGTAACACCAAACGTAAAATTTAAAAACTGCGTAGAATTTTACTCTGCAGAACAACTTCGTAAAAAAAAAGTTATTATGTATAACAAAATTACAATGAATAAGCAATATCCCTTAATACAAATTTTAATTATCCTAATAAATAAATTAATTAACTTCCCTTTGCAAAATCTTAAGAACTCAAATGGTAAAGGAGGTTAAGAACTTTGTTCCCTAAAAAAATCACTCAAAACTTTTCAATACCTTAAAAACAGTGAAATGAGCAATAAATAACATAAAGGAATAAAAAAAAAATCTGAAATGCAAAGCATAATTAATGATATTTTATCTTATATTTTCAAGAGAAAAAAATTACAATGAAATAAGCTATATCCCTTAATACAAATATTAATTCTCCTAATAATGAAGAAAAAAAAAAATATGCAAAACTTTTCAATATCTTACAAAAAGTGAAATAAGCAAAAAATAATATGAAAGCAACTAAAAAAAAAGTATTATATATACAGTCAAAAGTCGTTAATTCGGACACCCATAATCCGGAATGATCTATAATCCGGACCTCAAAGCTAAAAACTTTCTGCGCATGCGCATAGGCTTTTACGCATGAGCGTAAGACCTTTACGGCTGCGAATATACATGTGCGCATGTGCATAATACGTTTACGCATGCGCGTTTAATGTAAAACGGACGGTATAAGCTAAAACTGTCTAATTATTTATTTCAGTTAATGTTGCAGATTGCGTTGTTCCTTAATCTTCGAATTGGATCCGGCTTATTATTTTTTGCAGACTGTTAGAGCAATTTTATAAAAGTAAGCTTGAATATTGGATTATGTCAAATACATTTTCCGATGCTGGAGCTCCCAAAGGATCTACAAAGCGAAAGTATGTTTCGATGTCCATGAAACAAAAAAAGAAATTGCTGCAGAAAATGGATAAAGGCATATATCCTTTGATTATCTAATCATTCCGAAATATTTTTATCAATTTCACGCTGCTCTGCGGGGGGAGGGAAACGACACAGCACGCAATGAATTGGAAGTTGATCTGTCAGCACTATCCTTATCTTCAGAGCAGATGTTTTTATTTTATTTGGCTTATAATTCTTTACTAAATGTAGTATTTCATCTCGATGTACTCAGTCTTTGATATGATTTAAATCAAGTTCCTCCTCATTATAATTCGCTTCCGATAGTGAAGAAAGCTTATTGAAAACGAAAAAATTTCGATTGACAAATTAGCCGATATTCTCGACACAGCAATTATAGGACTTGAACAGCGGAACTTTGTAAGTAAACAAGAAATTATGTCTGTTTAATAGAATTAAAAAGAAAGTATTATCACATGAAACGAAGCAAATTAAACAACTTACATTGAAAGAAATGTTTAATAAAGTAAACAAATAAATATTTAGCTTTTTCTTTTTGTAAATTTGGTACCCTTTAGATCATAATTGCTGTTTATTTCATAAATTACGGTTTCATATTTTTAATTTTATAATTTCTGCATGCCATCTTACCAGATTTAAACTGATGATCTATAATCCGGAAAAATCGATAATCTGGAATCGCCGAAGTCCTGACGAGTCCGGATTAACGACTTTTGACTGTATATATATATATATATATATATATAAGACAATGAAGTATGCCAATCTCTTAAAAACAGTGACATAAGAAATACGATGAAAAATTGTTGCCAAACCCTTATTTCTAAAAGAATGAAACTATTCAAAATGATGCGATTTTATCAAAAATCTATCAACAACAATAAGAAAGGAAAATTGTTGCCAAAATCACATTTTTAAAGATGTGAGAAGTGTACTCGGAAGCTTTATTTAAAAATTTTTTTTAAAATACAAAATATTATCATTTTTCCAAAATTCTTTTTGTAAAAGCAGTCGCAAGGATGAAAGTTTAACGTGTCCAAAAATCAAAGAAAAATAAACTGTACATTTTTAAAAATAAACTTTTTTCGAAAAAATCCCGTTGAAAAGGTGTTAAGCTCACTTTGTTAAATAAATTCATATTTAATTGATTTATTAAAACACGAAATTTATTTTAAGTTCGTAAAATAGCTAAGTGCCTACGTTTCATGACGATGTGAAAATGGAGTGTGTAGAGTAAAATCTCGCTTTCCTATATTGCCCATCATGTTTCAAAATGATGCAATTTCGTCACAAAACATAAAATAAAAAAAATTCTCATTCAAATTTCGAAAAAATCACTTCGAGGTGCACTGGCTCTTGTCTAGATGCACCTATGTACCAAATTTCGTAGCCATGGGTCTATTAGCTTACGCGAACAAAAGACACACACACAGAGACAGACTCTTTCTTTGATTATATGTAGAAATTTAAAGGAATGCATTTGAATACAGATTTGGCACTTTTTTCCTGGTGTCCAGGATTTATGATACCAGGTTTAATTCAGTATTTTAATATAATTAATATAGAAAGAGGAAACAATTTCACATCAATAAAACAAATTATCCATTTAAACAGCATGGAGTATGTTTTAAGTATTTATCAACCCTTAAGATACCTTTATTGGAAATGTGTAAGTTCAGATGAAAGATAGTAACTGCTTATCTATTCATTCATACAAAGTGAACTCGAATTTCTATTATAAGTAATTATACTTTATTTCTTAAAATTAGGCTATTGGACAAAAGTTCAAGCTTGGCTCTGTCGTCCTTTTCATTGATAATTTCCAGGGAAATGTATCTAAATCAGTAGAAGATATTTCTTCACAGATTGGTCTTGAAATTGTGCTGGGTCCATTACATGAGACGTACGTCTCCCAGAAAGGAAAAGCTAATAAAGAAGTATACGACTGCTTACCACAATCTGCTGCTAGAGTTTCTGTTGTTGGCTATGTTAAGATTTTAAAACAGCTTAATCCTATATCTGTTAACTCCTTACCAGATAATATTTTGGAAGTTAGTAATGATGATGACTGGAACACAGATAGTGATGAAGATGAAAATTTTCCTCTTTCATTACATCCCATTGAAACCATTAAATGTAATACCGAACCAAAAGATCATCTTTCATTACTTCTTGGCAAAGACAATAAATCTGTTGTTAAACCAAAAAATCTGCCACATTTACCTAGGGCTGAAACCATACAGATAAACTGTGAACATTCTGGTACTGTATATAATAAAAGTGAACCAAAGACTGGCAGAGATGAGACCGTACAGAATGAACTTGAATTATTAGTTACTTCCTTAGGAAAGCTACTAACAGTTCTTGAAAAACTATTAGAAATAAAAAACTTAAAGAGAAATGGAAGCTGTTGCTGCTGCTGTTGCTGTGTAAACTACAGGTAATAAAAGGGAATGAAAATGCTATAAAATTTCCAACAAAAGTGAAATTATAATTTTATTCATTTATGAATAATGTTTACCATGTAATTAATATGATTAATTTATGAATAATGTAATGTATTGTAGACAAGGATTTATTTCAAAATTTCCCATAAAGTTTTAAAATTTTGCTTTTATCTTCAGTGCCATTATCAGTGAATTAGTTTTCCTTTAATATGCCAATAATATGATGGGTGCATCTTTATCAGTTTCTTTATGGTTTGCATTTTTGTTTGTTGACCAGTATTAGGAAATTTTGCAACACATATTTCACACTGAATGCTAACATACTATTCTTAATGATTTGAATCCAGATTACTATATCATGGATATTCAGTAAAATGTTTCATATAGCCAAAATAGATTTGGAATCGTTGTATTTATATAAAATGGTGGGAGTGTTATGCAAACATTTTTTTAACATTGTTATATAAATATAATTAATGATAATTTTTTAAGACTTATCTGTAAAATTGAATTTATGTTAAATTCATTATCTGAAAACTTTTTAATAATAAAATTTAAACAGAAATATTGTTAAATGTTTTGTACTGTGAAATTTACAATTTGTTGTTTAACTTTTATGTATTATATAATATACTGAACTCCTTATTATTCATACTTATTAATACATGAGTATGCACAAATAATGAAAAAAGGTGATAAATTGTAATTAATTTCCGGGTACTATAAAAAACTTCAGAAGTTTTAAATGAATGGATACAAACTATACTCTTAAAGAACAGTTCAATTAAAACAGTAATAAAATTTATATAGGTGGAGGTATTCTTCGAGGAAAAAAGAGCCTCTTTGAAGAGCCATACAAACATTTTCAGAGAGTATAGCAAATATCTGATGGCATTAAATCTGAAGTCAGCTTATCCATTGTGGTCTAACAACATCGTTACCATTTCATTTCCCTACTATGCGAAATCATCCTTCTGCCTTGCATCTTTATATTATTCTCTTTGCTTCAGGAATGTGTTAAACTGATAAAAATACTGAAATTTCAACATTCTTGAATAGCCGAGCATATTTCTATTTCCTTCACCTACCATATACCACTTAAGCATTTCATTTATTTTTTTAATTTATATTTCTCAAATTAATGAAATGAGTTATTTGTTTTATGTAATGAGTTTTTTTTTTTATTATTTTCCAAAATTCTTTATGTTGGTGGTACTTTTTTCTGCACTTTCAAACTTGTTTTTAATTTTTGGAGAACTGCTGAACAGCCATACTGTAGTTGGAATTTTCAGCAAGCCCGATCACCTATAGTTTAAAATTTGCTGTATAGAGATTTCTCTTCCCCCTTATCTTTCAGATAAAATAAGAATAGCACAAATACGACAGATCATACAAGAAAAAAATGAATGGAAAAAAATTGAGCTAACTTCAGATAGGGTTACCAGAGTTAAAACTATCCTAATTAGCATCTGGCATTTTACTTTACAGTGACTTCATTTGAAAACATTCTACCCATACACTTGGCAACATATTTGAAAGTTAAAGGAATTTGTTTTTCCCATTTCAGTTTATATACAGATTTTGAATTTTGGGTAAATTTTTGAAGAAAAAACATGCTTTCAGCTTATATTTGGAAATATATAATACATTTTCAAAACTTTGGATACCAGACTAAAATTCCACTCAGGCCTGATGGTACACCATTAATTTCTATTTTACTGCATCTAAGACCAGTTTCTTTAGACATAAATTAGCATTTAGCTCTTAACTTCTTTACTAGTTTTAGAGGCAAGATTCGAATCGTTAAAAATCTTCTTTTCTAAAAAGGTTATGAGTTTGGATCTTGGGTATTTCTCAAAACTTTCTGAGATAATACACAGATAATCTACTTAGTATTTACTGGGAGTTTGTTATTTAAGGTTATATTAGAAAATTCAAATATAAAACTTAAGTTAAAACTAATTTTTCTTTTAAAATTTTATAATATTGTAATGTATTTGCATTGTTTTATAATATTATAATGTACATAAATTTGAAGATTAGTACATAATTTTTATGGATTCTTTAGTAAGCTACTCATATAGATTTGTATACAATTATATTTATATATGTATGTATTCAATAAAACTGGTTGTGGGAACTGTGTTTTTGTTTCCTTGAAGATAAACAACTACTATTTGCCATAAAAGTACTTTAAGTATTATTTATATATATAATGTAATAATTCCACAGATGACTTGAGGATTTGTAGATAGCTTTTTACGTTTAGGCAGAAGATGGTAAAGCAAGAGACATGGTTTATTCAGGCAACAGCAAGCCAGAAGCAGAAAGCCCCCCTTTTCCCCAAATGGGAAAGGGTGTGACGCAAAGTAGCATAAACTCCATCTCCATTGTTTCCATCTGAATTTTGATCAGCTACAAGATAGCCACACTGCCTTTTTGCTTGCTGTATCAGTTTTAACCTCTAGAGCAAGGTTTCTTAAACTTTTTGGTGTGGAGACCCTATAAGCATTACATAAATCTGACACACACACGAGTGAAACTGTCAGTTGTACTATGGCAGTTTTAGGTCATTAACTGTAATTTTTAAAGTAAATGAACGTTTCCGTTATAAAAAAAAAATGCACTAAAACGTTTACTCTTTATTTTCAGATACATTATATAAAAATATTTGGTAATTGTAAAATTATTATTAGTTAAATATCAAAATTGCTAAAATTTTTGGCGACCCCCTACTGCAAGTCTGTGACACCAATTGGGGTCATGACCCATAGTTTAAGCAACTTTGCTTTAGAGCATTGGTTCTCAACAGGGGCAGTAAGAGGATGCTGAGGGGGCGAAAGCACGTTTTGGCATTCGAACTTAGTTTTAAAACTTCAAAAAAAAAAAAAAATGTATTAATTCGATTATGTGGTTTACGCCATCTGTACCAGCAATAAAGCAAACTTGGGCGACAGCTCCTAAGAATGGTGAGGCGAATTTATGTTCTAGGTAGGATGACCTTGATGAACTCAACACAGTTTGTTTTGTTTGCGATCCCAACCAGCACGGCACATGCGTCCGGTAATTCCACGTGCCATTAATCGCAGTACATGCGTTGGGCACCCTTTCGATATGAATATCATATTTGACCTATGTTTCTTGAGTAGCTTTTTTTGTTCGCTTCATTTCTGCATCCTCCCTTAGTTTTGATTTACTTTCATAGTTGGCCAGTCAGCTACGTAATTATGCTTATTAGTTCTTTATTGTGATCTTGAGTAATTTTGAGAAATAGTTATCTTTCCCTCATCATATTTTGCTGCTGCCAATGATGGCATTTAATAAAAAGAAATGCCATTGATAGTTCCATGTACTTGAAGTTTGGATTCATTCCTTCCTTCCTCCTACCTTGTTGAGTGAGGATTCAGTGCTGTGATTGATCTAATTACAAAAAAGAGAAGTCGACTCCAAGTCGTAGAAAGAGGGGACTTGTGCTTCTCTAAAAATATTGAACCAAATGTTCAGCAACTAGCTCTGAAGCATCAAGCATAAACATCCCACTGATCATACTTAATTTTTTCATCAATATTACTCGTTTAGTGTATTTTTAAAATTATTTAATTAAGAATTTTTTTTGTATTAGTCATTTTACTTGTAACCAAAGAAATGTAATTGCCTTCCAAGGCAAAACTATCAAGTTAAAACAAATTTGGTGTCTCTACTACACCAATACAAGTCTCCTGAAAAAGGAGAAGAAAAAAAATTCTCCTTTTATAATTCAGGAATGTCTCTTTCCCATATCCTAAATTACGGGATTTTTCACATAGGGAGTGTTGAAAAATTTTTCGTGCTTTAGGGGGGCACTTAGCTTTAAAAAGATTGAGAATCACTCTCTAGAGTTTGTTTTTAATGGTGCATCTATTGCTTCATAATAGTTATCTATGTATTAAACTGAATAAAATTTTCAACTGTAACTGAAGAAATACCATTATTTATACATATATAATTAACAAACAACTTAAAAATGGGATTGTAAATTTATGGACAGGCAATGACCATATTGAAAATTTTCATTAAATCATATGTTGCAGGTTGTGCAAATTTCCTTCTTTGAATATGTGCTGATAAATTTATGGCTCAGTCAAGAGTTCTATTAAAACTAGATTGCATTGAAATTTATTTATTGGCACATCCCACACTATTCTAAATTTCTCAGGAATGCTTTTTGATAATCCTTCAGTATTACATAAACAGAAGATTGGTGATGATCTTTTCATGACATATGCATATTTAGTATCTATTAATTATGTATATATATATAAAGCCTTTTGATTTTGCTTCAAGATTTTAAAACCTACAATAATCTGAATAAATGAAGTATTTCCAATAATGCTGTTCTGAAAAAAAAAAAGCATTGGCAAAAGGAAATTGTCTTTACTTATGTATGTGTTCATACTGAAAATTCTTTTTAAAGACCAATATACACTTTTCAGTTTGTCTCACTGATATTATTAGCACACTAAAAGATTACACAGTTGCAAGTTCAACTAAAATATACAATGAATCTAGAAAAGATATATTTAAAAAAAAAATATTCTATCTAAAGGCACACTTCTGATAGACAGAATGATTAAGAATAAAAACAACATATGTACACACAAAGCAATTGTATCATTTATTATAGTCAATGCATAAAAACCACACAAAATCATTTGAGATACTTTAAAATTGAGAACTAATTTACATATTAGCTTTCACACACATATATAAGCTCACAAATTCTTTGTATAGACTTTTAAGTGAAAAATTACTCTGAGCTATTTACAAAGTTTCTCCTTAATTCTTTTTCTTCATTTTTTTTTTTTTTTTTTTTAGTTTATATAATTTAACCTTAAATATCAAAGCACTAAAAAAGTACTTTGTTAAGAAGCTATATAGTACAATTTTAACGAGAAAGATGAGAACAAAGTGGTATACAAACAGCAAATAAAATTTTCTTCTGAATTCTTAAGACTATCTTCATAATCTGCCATTTTACAGTAACAGATTGCAAAACCTTAAGCAAAGAAAAATGAAATAAAAATTTTACAACAAAGAAAAAAGATCTAATCATGCAAATCATTTCCCTTTATTAAATGAATTTCTTCGTTTAAAAAGCAACTAAGTTTAAAGAATAGGAATCAAGAAATTTAAAACCATACTTTGCAAAGATTTACAATTTTTTTAAAACAAAATTTTACTACATTAAATATCTTTAAAAAAATCAAATTAAATAAATAATATGCATTGTTTGAACATTATAAACTGTTGCAGAAATGCAAATCATGCCAAAGTAATGGAAAGCATTATGGCAATTAACTAGATGACAATATTATATCAGCAAAGACCATATACTTTTAACTGATCAAAAGTAGTATTTTTCAAATAAGTTGTTTATAGAATTAAAAAAATTGCATAAATAGATATGTTATTGACATGCTTAAAATTCACAATGCTTAGCACTGCATTCGTAAAACACGAAATAAGGCTTAAACTAATACAATTGCATAGAAATTAATATTTTAATGTGAACAAAATTGCATAGTTTACAACATTTTTTAAATAAAAATAGCAAAAATTAATATGATATTACACTGGGAAAAGTAGTCTAATATACATTTTTAAATACAACACTAAGTCAAATTCTGTACAATTACATACTATAAAAAAGGGACAATGGTAAGACATATTTTTCGTTAATATAGGTTGAGAATGCATAGAGACAATGGTGGTTTAAAATTTATTTATGTAAACAAACTTTTCCATGGTTGCAGAGTTTCTTTTTAATGTACCTTAACAAAAGATTTTTTTTCGTTAATTAAATGCAATGCTAAAATATTAAAAATACTTGAAAATAATTTTATATGCCTAACTTTACTTAAGTGAAACGATGTCAATTTTGTTTTTTCTACTAGAGGTGATGACATACAAGTCAATTTTTTAAATACGATTCACATCCGACAGAGTTTCTGTTGAACTGTTATATTTTATTCTAATTTAATAAATAAAATACATTTCATGAAATCTTAAAAACAAAGTTATCAGCTTTTAAAGAAAAATCTAAGCTTTAACTATAGTCCATTTTAATATATATATATATATATTTTTAAATTATTTTTAGAAATTATAAAAATATCCATAGTTTATATGTATTATATGCTTTTTCACTATAAAACAAATTTATAAGTTGCTTCTGTTTTTCCAGTTTGCGAAGAGATTTAGTTATTGATAATAAGAAAATCAAAAACTTAATACACACTCTGAATAAATTTAAAAAAACTGTGGAATATTTAATTTGGTTTAAATATATGTAATAGGCTAGTGCCACAAACTACCAAAAAATTCCATTCAAATTAAATTATTTTTAATAAGATATAACTATAATAGAATATTAGGAAGAAATTAATTATAAATGAGATATATACTTCACATATTGATATTGTTTTCAGAAAAGTTAAAAGACTTTAGTTCTAAGGGAATTAAGGTATGCTTAGGACTTTCTGGTTTGAAAAAATACAGCTACTAACTAGTTAAATCTTGTGTAGAAATGCAAATTTTGCTTATATGAATTCTCAGCCAAACTCTGTCAAGTGATCCCTGCCAAAATATTTAACAGTGATGTAATTAGATATGAATTATGCCTGCTCAGAAGATATATTGCACAATCTTACATTAAAAAGACAGCAAAAGCATTTGTGAAAAATTCCAGGTGCAATATATTTTTTAATACAGGCACTAAGTATGCATTTAGGAAATAGGAAGAAATTTGGAAATTATTAGAAAATGGCAAGATACTTTAAAAAAAAAAACTCACTTTCCTAATATAATACACTTTGATTTAAAAATTTGCATAAGTTTATGAAAAAGAATTTACAACTATCCTACATGGACATTCAATATATGCATATATAAATACAAAGTTACATCACAAAAAAATGAACATAATGATATTCACCGCAAGCCTGCTTTAAAACAGCAATAAAACAATCAATGAGACAGATTTAAAAAATAAAGACACACACATAAAGTCAAATATCTAAATCATTCTATATAAGATTAAACTTTCAGATTCACGCACATAATCCTTTTAAACAACAGCACTTACTTCAAAGAACTGCAAATGAGGTATTAAAATAACCCTACATCCAGAACATTAATTAAACATATAGACAACACTCACAATGGAAAAGAATAGGAAGATAAATCATATTTGAAAAAGTACACACCACGGTAAATTACTCATCAAATCTATCATTTGTACAGTATACTCTATTTAAGGGCTGGCTATAAAGCCGAAATTTAATTGTGATTAACACAGTACATATGTGCACATGGTTGTTTGATCAATTAAATTATTCATACCTATTGTTATGTTTTCACATTTACCATCAACTACTTACTACATGGAATTGAGATTAATATTAAGGTCTAAAATGCTCATTTGAGAACGGAAATTTAAAATTTTAAAAATATTTTTGAATGTTACAACTGGCCAGACTATCAAATTTTATATTGCATTACTTCATCATTTCTTTATATTTACACTACACATTTACATAAAAATGTAATAATATGAAATATTTCAATAGAATAAGTATTGTAACAACTTACTTCTTTTCAAATATTGAAATTACTCATAAAATATATAAATCTGCTAACTGGTAAATTACACAATCATAAATCAATCCTATTTAATGGATTATTGGTTATCAAATGGCCTGACAACTGTTCTATATATTTAAAAGTTTTTGATAATGAAGTGAAATAAGTTGATGATAGAGTTTTAGTTCTTTTCCTTGTACATAATTTTTAAATGAACTGTTTAACTGCATAAAGTTTACTAGGAGTGGTATTCTTCCCTTTCTGTCCTCAATTTTTCATATTTAACCTTCCAACACGCGCGTATACGCAAAATTTACGACAAATTCAGTTTTGCATTTCCATCTCACTAACATTAGAACTTTTACTTATATTTGAATGCAATATCATTTGTATTTTGCAATAATAAGATTAATATTTTATTTCTTAACGAATTTATTATCAATATTCACTCACTTCTGTCGTTTTTCGTGCCCCAAATGGTAAAATAACGGATGTCGTAAAAAATATGACACGCGCGTGCTGGAAGGTTAAGCATATACAAGGAGGTTCATCAAACAGAATTTTCACCAAAAACGGAATCAATTTTCATAAAGATTTCTGAATCAGACTGATAAGGGCTCAATTTCTTTTGAATAGATTTTAGAACTAGAAACTGACATTATTCCAATTCAAAGGCAATTTCCAATTATAAACTCCTACTTAAAATAAAACCTTTAACATTCTACTATTAAAACAAATCTTACTTTATCTTTACATTTTTCACAAATATATTCTGATTATATTGAGAAAATATTTTAAAAGAGGAAAAGAAAAATTATAACATAATAAACATTTTTAGTTTATTAGATTCACAACTAGACACTGCAGAAAACAAAGATGTTAATGCAGAATCAAAGTAACTCTACACAAAGATGATTCAAAATGAAACATCTTTAAAATTTTTGACATATATGGTCACTGGATGTATCTGATAAGAAATGGTGAATATTTACAACAGTACTTGGTTCAACTGTGAATGTTTAGGCATTTACTCTGGCTTGGAATTCATTTTAAAGCAATATATTCTAGTGTAAATTAGTTATGTAAAAATATATACAAACAAATTTAATTATTAAATCTTTTCAAAATGCCATCTGAATAAAATGTATTACAAAAATTTGTGCACAGTTAATGAAATATGCAAATAAACTGTAGTAACTTTTTTAAAGACTTATACCACTTATAATTAAGCCACCATCAATCATTACTTATTAAAAAATAAATGTTAAGAGAAAAAATTCCTTTGTTGCATTTTAGGAAGCTACTACGTGGACGTACAAACTGCAACCATCAAAATTTTAAAGACATATTATTTTTATGGGGGAAATTTTATGTTTTAGTATTTAAGTGTTTATTCATTAGGCCAGAATCCAGGTAACATCATGACATTAATAATGATTTCCTATAGTCAGTAAATACATGGTACATTTATACATTACTAATACTCTTAATGATAACCTATTAAATTTCAATTCCATTTAAAGGAGGTCATAAATATACTGTACTTCATTACTTTAACCTACAGTAAAAGATTAATAATGAAAACAAATCAGCTGAAATTTAATTAAATTATTCCATTACAGAACTCGAAGGCAACAGTACTTGGCTATAAGGATCCTATCAATGCATGAACGATTATTTCTACAGACATGAAAAAATACTACTATTTTTACAGCTGACTAATAGGTCAACACAAACTATTAATGCAATATATTATACCCTGAGAAGCTATTAAACACTGAAGTAAATATGTCAAACTGAGATGTTATCTCAATGCACAACGTTATACAAAAAATCTAATTTTCCCCCTTAAAATATACTCCAAATACATGAAAATTCAAACTACAGAGTTATAACACTTAGAGAAAAACTTCATTGAGGAATTAAGTTACACATGCTATAGCCTCACATAAACACTAATAAATATGAATACCTCTAAGATAAACTAACTGATAAATAATATGCCAGTTAGAAAGAATGCATGTATTTAGAACAGTAGCAAGTGCCAGAAACAGTAACATACTAATAATAAGCATATTTATATATATCTGTGGAATTCTAGTGGTACACCTAACTAAAATTGATGCCTTTAACACCAACATATTGAATAACATACCACAGTTTTTACATACATACATACATACATATTTATTTATGTATGTATACATGTATTTGCATATATATATAATTATATATGTTGAATCACATTAAGTTCATTTTTCATTTGAATAATAATATGCACTCACAGTATAAAATCCCAAGGCAAAATCTAACAATGCCCAATGCACTAAATGCATAAAGGCATGTCTAATATTTATGTGATACACAATAAATATAAATCTATCCTCTACACTGATATAAATCCATTAAACAGTATAACAGATTATTTATAAGACTAGTAAAGCTAACACCTTAATATCACTATACCAACACATCACATGTGGTAACAGTTGGTATTAATTATTACAAGATTAAAATAAAAAGTTATAATCCAATATTGGAGATATATAACAATCAAGTTAACACACATGCAATAAGAAAAATATGAAAAAACGTGTCTAAATCAATGTGCTTGCTACATACCTAATGCACTATAAAAATTAATCAAATATTTCCATGAATAATAAATGAATTTAAAATGAAGACAAAACCAAAGCATTAAAAATGTTTAAAAAATGAATTAAAGCAATGTAATTTTCTTACAATGCTAAAACAGTCCCCCCCCCATTTTTATGAATGCAAACTGGAGGGTCAATATATATCACAAAGTGTACACTGCACAAAATTATTTCCAATGTACAACACAAAACAAAAGTAAACATTTCATTCAAAATTACAAATGCAGTCAGTAACTTTTTGAAATTTTCTGATGACTAAAATTAACACATGTATCATTTTATATTTGTGTGTGTGTGTTCATAAGCATAATTTATCACTGGAAATCTATTAGCAGATTGCGTCTGATTTTGTACGTTTTTTTCATGTCAATAACAAAAACAGCTTCATAAGAGTGTTGCACATCATAATTTACATTCAAAAACTGACCAATAGATACTATATTAGCACTTCTGACATTTAAAGAGAGAAGTCCTGTCTTCAAAATGATATACAGAATGAAATTATCAAATCAAAAATTAATTATTTTTAAATGATATTTCATTAATTTATACCTGCTATGCAATTTCACGCATTACTTTTCACTGCTAAATTTAATACCTTTTGAATTTACATATATATATAATATTTCCAATGGCTAGGCAAAAAGAACTAAAATCTTAAAACAGAAGTTGCAATAGAACTAAGAACAAAAAGACCAAAGTCATTGCCTAAAGAGTGTTCTTGCCTCCCAGTATCTCGACTGTCCTGTAAGACCACGAAGAGCCCCACATCGAAGTAAGTAGTCCCTGTCCATTTCTTCTTCAGAATCACAAAATGCGCAAATAGGATCGCAGACTGCTTTAACATAAAAGTTCAGAAATTTCTTTTCAAAAATACATACTACCTTTGCCATTACACGCATGCCTTATTTCATGTATTTTGATAAAAATTCTTAAAATATTTAAATATTATATAACTTATCATAAATGATCTTATATGTTTAATGTAGATGCAATGTTTTCAAATATGTATGAAACACACACACATATATGATGAACTCTTTCTGAAACTTAAATCATTGGATTTTATATTTGCTACACAGAAATAAAATATATAAAATGCACAGCACACACATAAAAAATAAAAGTGGCAAAATATACCTTAGTGCAGCATTATACAATAATGAAAAAGTATGATTTTTTTTTTTTTTGGACTTAGGAACTATTACATAATTTTTAATTATTACACATGATAAAAATATTGTTAAGATATAACTATCAATAATATGCATTTTCTATACATTTCCAATGATTAAGGAATGTTTTTAATGAAGTTTTTATTATTTTATAAAGAAGGTTAAATTGTATTTATGCAAACTGCATTCTATAACATTTTTAATATTACTGGTTGAAAAAGAGTTGGAATTTATAACAATACTTCAATTTATAACAATACTTTATACAAAATCATAATTCATGCAACGATCAGCAATGCACATTTTAAATAAATACTGTTGAAAGGAACACTTCTTCCTTTTCAATAACATAAAACTTCTTCAAAATCAGATTACAGAATCTTTGGGTTGTGATTTTAAATAAATACACATTTTAACCAATAATAATATATCTATCATAAAAATATTACTTTACCAACTAATTTTAAACCAGCAATTCTTTTAAGATATACATAACCTTAAAAAAATTTACAAACACAGCTGATGCCACAAATGCTCAGTTGTATGAAGTGTTAATTTAATTTATTGAGCACTTTTTTCAGTCCATTTTCGTAAGTCCTGAGAATAATATTTAATCTCAGTTTAGAAAGAAATTGGCACCTAAAAAGACATAACAGGTACTTTACTAAAAGCTTCTTGTATAAAGAAAAAAGATAATAGGCAAAGAGAAATACTTTAAGTAGCAGCGATATCTCTGTTATATAGTGGTGATTTCAAAGAGCATTAAAATTACACTACTACTGAACTGGAAAACAAATCTGACAGTAAAGTTAGACGCATATTTTTCACAATTGCTACACTTTCAACAATCAAAATAAATCATTCTAAATCCTAAAAAACAACAGGTTCAGAGAAAAATAATCCATAGATTTAAAAAAAAAAAAAAAAAAAAAAAATGAATTACAATTTATAAACATGATTTTGAATTTTCAAAATCATTTTACATGTATCAGGTAATGAGTATTTGAACGCAAATTTTTCTACATGAATTTTCATTCAGATAGTCCTTATTACCCATAGCATTTCATTTTATGCTCTTTTTTCTATACGTCCAATTTACAGATTCTACAAATTACTTTTAAAGTAAATTTTTGCACTTTATGCTAGTATATACTGCAGCAACTGGAATGCTAATATATAATTTCCCTCCTCAAAAGAAAAGATACGGCCTTGAAAACAGCCTAAAACAAAAGAATGAATGTGACTATGAATTACCACAATGGACTCAAAAAAGTAAACAAAGTATAAAATTTGGGGGGGGGATCTGTATAATAAACTTCAAATTAGAAAATTTAGCATGTCGCAGTTTATTGCGAAAAACTTGAAATTACCAAGTATTTATGATATTAGTAAGACTGTGTGATTTCCAAAACCTATGTCTCATACTTAATTATCTCTCTTAATTAGAAGAAAATATTGCAAATGTAAACACAGAAAACCTTTAAAGAGTTGTTAAACCGAGGGGGGAGCAAGGTGCTTCTTGAAAATTCATTTTATAAATCCATTATTCATAATAAAGGAAAAAAGATTCAACATAATGTACAAAGTGAAGGGGTTTATTTTAAAGTGCTAAGTACTTTTTACGAGTAACTTTGTATTATGAGAAGTCCATGAAACAACTCCGTTTGAAAACCTGCCAATCACTAATCACATGCTAAATTCCTGTAATCCTCTTTCTTTTCTTGACCCAAAGTAAAAACAATGCTACACAACTTGATACTAGGAACAACTTTTTGCTCATAAAATAAAACATTATTCCTAGCAATGAGTAGTCTAAAACACTTTACTTCCCAAAAATAACAAACATTAGAATATTTTAAGATTTATAAAAAAAAAAAAAAACTTGGTTTAATTTATTCTAAAGTATAATATTTTAAACTAAGTGCATTCAGTATGTTTATGAATTGCCAATTTACAAATTCAAAGCATTAAGCTATTTGAAATTCACCACCATAACATGAAAAGAAAATCCTTACACTACAGAAATTCATTTCTGATATAGGCATAGATAAATACAAAAGTGACTAAACATTTGATGCTCTTAGTCTATATTTACTACCATGACATTCCATATCCATAGCAAATACATTTAGCTACAATTGTGTAAAAGTGATAGTTATATTAAAATCACATATATGTGAAGTTCAACATGGCAAAATTGTAAAAATTTCACACTGCACAAACACTCCCTTTTGTACACTATAAAAATAAAAAGTAAATCTAGTTGCAGCCCCTTAAATAATATTTACATTGAATGAAGACCAAACAGTTTAAAAGTACACTCATTTATATACAAGTTATTTACAAACTTCTGAAACATGCTTACACAGTGTCACAGATGAAATTTGAAATAAACTTTAAAGCTAATTTCAATTGCTGTTACTACATAAAAATGCACATGAAATGCTCAACTAAAAACTAGAAAAATGTGAAAGAAATAGTAATCTGCAAAACAAAATAATAATAATAATAAAAAAACAAGACATTAACAAACAGCATCACAAGTTTGCTTGTATTTTGGTCACACATTACACAGCTGTTCAAAGCACAACTTAAGCTTTTCTTTTATGTTGAAACGGTATAAAAAGATGTCTGTCTCATCCATGCTTCATAATAGAAAACTTATTTTTGTAAGATTGCACGATAAAGTGCCTCAATTCACCAAACACTTAGTATAGATAGTTGTACGAGGCTTTTGCAGGACTTAAAGGATTAAGGCTATAACTATATGGAGGAGGAGCAAGAGCTTGGGCACTTGGAAATGGAGCAATGGATACTGCTGAAGCAGGTAACACTGCTGTAGCTGGATTTGCAGATGCTGGCTGAAGGTGTGCAGGTAATGGATGCGATGAAGAATGAGCTGCTGCATATGGTACAGCAGTGGTGATGGAAGATCGACTGGAACTGTGATGGTGATGTGCAGGTGGTGGAACAGGAAGCTGAGTCGCAGAAAAAGAAGCAGATGAAATTTGTCCAGGAGTCAAAACATACTTCTGTGTTTGGCTGGCAGCAGGCAAATATGTCTGATGGGAGAGATTAGAGGTAACATACACAGCAGGCCGGCAATAATCTCTGAAAAAGAAGTTAAAATTTTCATTTTTTTTTTTTACTATCATGACAGAGTTTCAAGCTTGGAAAGAGATTTCATTACATAAATAAAAACTAAATTACAGAACCCAAACTCAGATCCAATTTGAATGACTTATGACTAAAGCTGCAATTTTACCACAGGAAAACAAAACAAAAAACAAGTAATACATTATAAATAAATTCCTATGTAGGCCAACAAAGAAAAATTTTATTTTAGTTATTTTTTATTAACATTATAAACATTTTTTAGTTTCTCATTGGCAGCTATGGAATAAGTAGAACATATAAATAAGGAGATGACTGTGATTTGATGTGAAATAATGTGAAAAAACTATATTTGAACTTGAGTGGATGAATAAAAAGTATTTAATATTGATGATTGAAAATTTGAAAAAGATATAGGAAGAGTGTGAGCTAACAGTAGGAATTTAAAAAAGTCAGTCTACAAGTAAAATCTTAATATAAGTGAAAATTTTCTGGTCAATGACTTGATTTTTTTTTAAAGTATACATACATAAAATAATAATAAAAATAATAAACATACAAGAAATATATATATATATATTGTACACATAAAATAATAATACAAATAATAAATATACAAGAAAATTAGTTTTATACATTTTTAAACTGATACTTCAGAATGCCGTAATATAAAATGTCCATTTAAATAATTAGGTTATTTGGGTACGGCAAAACATACCAAGGCTATCTGGCTGAGGGAAGGGATGGTGTCAGAGGACTCATGAACTCAAACTGACTCATGCTACAGAAGGAGAAAACCACAAAACATCCATGCAAGCTAGCCTTTTTATGTGGGTTGAACTAATGGTATTCAGCAGTCCATATCACTCGACACTTGTAGGGTCCCATTTAAAGGATAATAAACTGACTACCAATAAGTATTTGGACACCTATGCAAATGACGATATCTGTGTTCCAAAGGTATGTCACGGACTCCGCCGGTACATATCGTGTAGGAAACAGCATCGGCTTTAGTTGCATGCAAGATGCCTCGCAGTTTGAAGCTCTCTGATTTCGAGAAAGGTATAATTATCGGGTATCACAAATGTGGCCAATCCTTAAGGGACATATCTAGCGATCTGAAGTACCCAAAATCGACAGTGATCTATGCGATTAAGAAGTGGAAGGTGAGCGGTGATTGTCGGAATGTGCCCCAAGTCGGCAGACCAACGAAATTGGGAGATAGAGACCGACGAGTGCTGTCCAGAGAAATTCGGAAGAACCGCACCCAACCGATGGCCCTCATCCGCGAGAAGTTTCAACAGGCATCCGGGAGTATTGTTTCAATGAATACCATCTGTAAGGAAGCACATCTGCTTGGTTTTCATGGTCATGCTGCTGCCCATACGCCTTTGATCACAAAGTCCAATCGTGCTGCTCGCTTAATGTGGTGCAAAGCACATCGAAATTAGACCGTAGATCAGTGGAATCGGGTTCTTTGGAGTAATGAATCAAGGTTCACCCTTTACCGTTCGGATGGCAGGGTCTAGGTCTGGCGTCTACCTGAAGAACGTCTCCTGTCAGAATGCATTGTGCCAACAGTCAAGTTCGGCGGAGGTGGAATTATGGTCTGGGGGTGTTTCTCCTGGTATGGGCTGGGACCCTTGGTCCCCATTCATGGTAAGCTCAACTCTGATGTCTACGGCACTATTTTGGATGACAATGGGCTTCCTACGTTGTGGCAGTTTTACGGGTTGGACCCCTGTTACTTTCAGGACGACAATGCCAGTTGTCATGTTTCGACGTTAATCAAGGCTTGGTATGATGCCAATGGAGTTCATCGAATCGACTGGCCTGCCCAGAGTCTAGACCTGAACCCTATCGAGAACCTCTGAGACGAGTTGCATCGCCGAATTCAGGGGTGCATTACCCGTGCAAAATCGGTGAAGGAACTTCTCATGTCTTCTACAAGCCGAGTGGGAAGAAAATACCACTAGCTGTCATACAAAGACTTGTGGAAAGTATGCCCTGGAGGGTCCACGCTGTAATTGCCTCTCGTGGAGGCTCTACCAACTATTGATTTTGAATAAAGTTAGTTTTTCTTTTCTATCACAGGTGTCCAAATACTTATTGGTAGTCAGTGTATATGATACAGTATCTCACGCACTTGGAGATTTTTCTTTCTAATCTCTGGGCTCCTTAACATCTCAAATTAAAAAAATATTAGGCTAGAGGTTAAATGATTAAGACAAAACATACAGTGGCTATCTATTGGGAAAAGGTGTGGAGGAATTTTTTTGGGGGGGACTTCCTTTGTGAAGGACTTTTTTTAAAAATAAAACTGGCTCATATATATGTTACACATGAGACTTGAACTCAAGTTGAATTACCAGTGTTTAATGGTGGAATTACCACTATCGCATCCACTTGGTTACAGTCAGGCTTATATTAAAAAAAAAAAAAAAAAAAATGGGAGGAAGTCCTTTTGTATGGTGCTATTTAGAAACACTGACTGATGACAATAACATTATATTATTTATGAAAATGGTTATTTTTCATATTCCAAAAATATAACAAATCCTTTCTAGTCTGGAAATTGAAAAACAATTAAAAATTCTGTTTGATTTGAGCAAGATTATTTAAAAGCTCTTTTTTTCACATAAATTCTAATGAAAGGAAGACTAAATATGGAAAAAATCTAACAATTATAATAAAAATTTAATATTTGCAAAATATAAGAAAATAACATGAAAGTTAATTGCAAAATTTTGAACCACAATATATTTAAAATACTGCTTACGACCAATGTAAATATTTTGAAGAAACATGGAAAATGATCAGTTCCATGGAAAAGAATAAGCAAAATATAAAAAGAACCTTTTCTTTATCTAACACATTTTTAACAAAAATTTTTACATACTAGAAGAACAATATAGTCTTACATAATTCTGAATTAGCTATATTAATTTATATATTTCTGCATATGGGTGATAATATTCTTTTCAACCAGTTATATATAGTTAGCAAAATACATGAAATGATTCTTGCAAGATTTAACTGATGAAAAATACAATAGGAATTAACATGAAGACATACTTCTTAAGGTCCTTAATTATTATGAAAATGATTACACTACCGTGGCAATGAATTTAGCGCTTTTGCGTCTATCAAATGCTATAGAGAGAGATATCCTTTTTGGACTATAATTGCCTATCACCATACGTTAACACTTGCTATGTTAGATGTAATGAAATTGATACTGATAACACATGGATACAAATGACAGTTCAATGTCCAACTTAGGGAAAAGCTAACTTGGTAACAAAGGTGCATGTATATGTCTACCAAATAATATATTACGCAAAGATATTTTAATGGAAAAAATAATATAAATTTAAAACAAATGTCTATATAAAATTTGGAAAGACCCGTAAGTTGTTTTGCATTCTCAGCATTTAAAACTTTTAATTTATATTTTTACTTAAAATATTTTCAAAAGTTGATACAAATGCTGATAATGAAATAAAATGGAAACATGTGACTTAAATAATTCATCAAAGTATAAATATTATTGACTAAACAGGTAAATATAGCATTATTGTAATGGAAAACATGGAAATAATCTTCTCATTATGAGATCTAAAGGTAATTGTTACTAAGCAAATAATACCAGTGCAAACGGAATGTGAAGGTAAGCCTATAACAGAATCTATGCTTAGGTAACGAGATAGGGGTTAACGTAGAGGACTCTGTGAAGCTACTGACTAGGATATGTACCTAGACAGTATCAGCCACAGGGGGTATACAAATCATGAACATAGTGGTTCTGGAGGCTCCAGAAAGGTCATTTATTGGTTGGCAGGGGTAACGTCCCTCTGCGACGGCAGCCTGAGTGACTGGCAGGTAGCAAATCATAGTCAACAATCGGTGTCGTATACTTCTCTCCAAGGTGCAAGGGCTGAACCTCTGTGCCTGGTTCTAAGGGGCGAGGAAACTCACAGTGCGGTTAAGTCTCACGGAGTGGCGAATGCCCATATATCTAGTTAGAAAAAAGTAAGTAATTCCTTCAAAAAATAAATTTTCCAAAAGATAGCTATTTGTTTTCAGATGGGGAGGGGGGAAGAGTGCAAGATAGAAAACAAGTGAAAATTCAATCTTATTTGAAAAGATTTCATGCATTGTAATAATGATTTCAAAGTAAAAACACTTAAATATATAACTAAACTAATAACAATTTATTTAATAATAAGTATTGCTTATAAAACAAGTTTGCATAGTTGTTCTATGCATTTTTTTTTTTTTTAAATCTCAATCCATACATTGACAAAACAAAACAAAAAGTAAATAATAATAATAATAATAATAATAATAATAATAATAAAAAAGGTGACCTGAGACATTATGCAATTTTTGTCTCGATATTTGGCATTGCTAAAATTCCATATGTGCCAGATTATGATTCCTATTGCACACCAGTTTCTAAAATGAGAAATGTAAGCATAAGGAGAGTAAAAGCAAATAAGTCAGCCAGTGTTTTGAATTTTCTCAACTCTGCTCTTTTCAGATTATCCACTTTTTCTTCCCTAATTTGGTTTAAATATGTGCAAACTTGCTAAAATCATGTTCCTGTAAAAATTTGCTGTTAAATCTTCATTTTGGCCTCGTGTCCACTGAAATCATCCACACAAGTAGTAATCTAGTACAGCAATCGCAATATGCATAGCTGAAAATTCACTTCACAAATCACAGTTTGTGACACAATATGCAAGGGCTTTTGGAGATTTGAAAGAATCGAGAAAAATGAAGAAAGGAGGGGAGAGGATACTTACTGCTGAACATGTGAAGCACTGACACATATATGGAAAAAGAAATGAGAATGGTGAGCAGCATCTGCAAGTGAAGACATGAGTGCTTCAAACAAATAAGCAGAAGATATTATTTTGCATGCTTCAGAATAGCAAATGTGTGAAAATAGTAGAATGAGCTGATTAGAAATTTATCTTCTAGGGAAACACAGA